TCCCCAGGTGCAGCACCTTGCACTTGTCAGTGTTGAAACCCATCCTGTTCTCATCCGCCCACCCCTGTAACCTGTCTAGGCCCATTGCAGCCTATTCCTCCCTTCTAGCATGCCCGCTTCTCCCTACATCCTAGTGTCATCTGCGAATTTGAACAGGGTACTTTTTACCCCCTCATCCAAGTTGCTGATGAAGATGTTGAACAGTGCAGGCCCAAGGAACGAGCCCTGAGGAACCCCACTGCCCACATCCCTCCAAGTCGAATAAGACCCATCCACCACCACTCTCTGGGTGCGGCCTTCCAGCCAGTTAGTGACCCATTTGACTGTGAAGGTGTCAACGCCACAGTCCCCTAGTTTTTTAATGAGAATCGGGTGAGAGGCAGTGTCAAAGGCCTTCCTAAAGTCCAGAAAGACTAAGTCCACTGCTATGCCTGCGTCTAAGGATTTTGTGACCTGGTCATAGAAGCCCACCAGGTTGGTATGACAGGACCTGCTTCTAATGAACCCATGTTGGTTGCCCCTAAGCATACTCTCCCCTGCTGGCCCCTCACGGACATGCGCCAGAATAATTCTCTCAAAACGTTTACCCAGAATCAAGGTAAGACTAACTGGCCTATAGTTTCCTGGGTCCTCCTTCCTCCCTTTTTTGAAAATGGTAACTACATTGGCCTTTTTTCAGTCCTCTGGTACCACACCAGAGCACCATGAGTGCTCATAAAGCCGTGCCAGGGGTCTCGCAATGACCTCTGCTAATTCCCTCAGCACTCTGGGGTGGAGATCTTCAGGACCTGCTGATTTAAATATGTCCAGTCTCTCCAGAAGTTCCCTGACTTTGCCCAGCCATCCTCCTTCCAGGGCACCCAGCACAGATCGCTGCAAGGGGTGGGGGTGAGGGTGAGGGTGAGGGAGCTCAGCCCCCCCCTGCTTCTCGCTGCCGCTGCTGCTCTTCCCTACCTGTTAGCTGCTCTGATCCTGTGCTCCTGCCACCTCACCCTGGGCCCCACCTGCCTGGGCTCCAAGCTCACACAGCCTGGCCCCCCCCATCTGCCCCTTCTTGCTCCTACTGCTTCTCCGGACCCTGGGCTCCTGCAGCTGCTACTCACCACTTCCCTCAATGCTGTGGCCAACACCACTGCTTCTTTCCCATGCCTGCGCTGAGCACTATAATGAAATGCACTCAGCGCTAAGTGAAATCAGGTAGGTATTTTAAATTAGCACTCTAACAAAACCGTGCTAAGTGAAACTGTTAAGCAGGGGTTGCTTGTATAATTGCTTTTGTTATATGATAAGTATTTGCTTTATCTCCTGGTATAGATTATTATTGAGCTCATTGGAAATATTTTGTTTGTTATTTATGGGATGTTGAATTTGTTAATCTCTGTTATTATTGTTAATAATAAATTATTGTAAATAGTTATTTAGTGTCTGGTGTGGGGAGGACCATGGGAGAGTACTCCAATGAGTGCCGGCTCCCAGCCTGTAGACAGTGGGAGTAGACCAAAACCTATTCCAGGATCCCAAAAATTTGGGCGTGTTTGTGGGTAGCACCACTGCCAGGGTTAATATATAAACAATATGTTTAATTTATTCATTTATTTTTCTAATGTATGACTTGTTTTTCATACACAATTTTGTGGCACACCCATTTGTTTCTGACAGTACACCATTGTGCCACAGCACACCAGCTGAGAAACATTGCCCAAGGGCACCACCTAACCCCAGACACCTGTGCGGGGAAGTGAAGTTATTCCCTACTCTACCCAGTCTCCCAGAATGCCCTCGGGCAAGCCAATTTGGCTCCCGTAATGAGGTAGGGCAGGCAATACAGGCAGCCCACGGGGCAGTGCCCCCGTCTCTGCAACTTGGAGTGCCGTGGGGTAGGGGGGTATGTTGGCGGGTGGGGCTACTTTGTAACTGGGGGGCAGGGGCCATGGAGATGTAGGGGGCCTTATAGAGAGTATTGTCAGGGCATCTGAGAGGGTAGGGGGCACTGTAGGAAGTATTGGGAAGCAGAGGCCTTAGAGCAGGGGTAGGCAATGTTTTTTGGCCAGAGTGCCAAAAAACACCATAATGTCTACCTTGGAAGGTGCCAGAGTGCCGCCAAGGCAGAAAAACAAAATGAGTGCAAGGGGTACATGCAAGGATACCCTGCTTGTGCCCCTAGCCCCCT